GGAGGAAGAGGAAGAGACATACCAGGTATTTGAAAACTGCAAGCGCAGTGCCAGAGCCGCAGCCAGAGCCACGGTCCCCTCCCACAGGCAGGAGGGGAGCCCCAGGGAGGGCGGGGGTCTGGGAGGAGGAGGAGGAGGAGGAGGAGGAAGAGGAAGAGACGTACCAGGTATTTGAAAACTGCAAGCGCAGTGCCAGAGCCGCAGCCAGAGCCACGGTCCCCTCCCACAGGCAGGAGGGGAGCCCCAGGGAGGGCGGGGGTCTGGGGACAGCAGGGGTCCGGGGCTGGCCTCAGCCGGGCTGTCCCTGCTCCCCAGCCCCATTTCCTGCAGCAGTGGCAGCAGGAACGCAGGGAATGCTTGGCTGACGTCAATGCTGACATTCACGGGCCCTGCCAAGCTCCGCGCCCGCCATGGCTGCTCCGACAGCTGACATGGGGGTGGCTGCAGGGAACGGGGGCCCCGGAGGTGCCGGGGGGCTGGGGCACGATGGCCCCTTCTCTCTGCACTCAAGGATCTGCAAAGCTCCGTGCTGGGTGCTGTGAGAGCCCGGGGAGACACTGCCCCACAGAGCAACCCCGCAGGTTTTGCGCTGTGAAGAAATCCCTCTGGTGCTGCCCAGCACTGGGAAATGGCAGTTCCTGGCACTAGGATGGGGCTGGGTGGCCACGCTGCTGCAGAACCACAACTGCACCAACCCCACCCAAAAACCAGTGGGATCCGGTTCCAGTTTGGTTTTAACTGGGGCAATGTGGAATTCCACACTCCTCCTCTGTGCTGTCGGCGGGGCCCCTACTGCAAAAAGGCCCAGAAGGGGTGAGGAGTCAGGCTCAGGAGCAAGGCTGCCTTTGCCCTGGGATGGATGGCATCTACCCTGCCAAGCCTGGGACCACTGCCAAGCCCAGTGCCAAGAGCAGCAGCTGCTTCCCAGCAGTACCCAGGGCCGTCACTGGTTTTTGGGCTGTGCCTACACCAGCAGCGGCCCAACATCCTCAGCCTGCAGATGGCAGAGGCAGATGTGGGGATGGAGATATTGTTAGTGCATTTTACAGCTGAGGAGCTGAGCCACGAGGCCTGAGCCTCATTAGCACTGAGGCTCTCACAGTGGAAAAGGCCCTTAATGAGCTTCTTTTCCTTGCTGTAAAGTTCCTTTATGGGGCCCAGGCACGAGGAGGAACTGGGTGTTAATTGATCACCCGAGGAAGGCGGAGAATTGGCTGCAGCACCAGGAGCTAAACCCAGAGCTACCCAAATCCTGGTCTTTGGGGGTCACCTCCCTGCTCTGCAGCTCTCCCTGGAATCCTGGGTAGATGGAGACTCCTTGGTCACTGGCGGGGGGGACTCCACTGAAACCAGCACCCCCAAAAAGGCACTGGAGCTCCACATGCCAAGCCCTCCCACTGCCAAGAGCAGCAAAATCTTCCCCAGTGCTTCCCTATGGACCAGCAGAGCCCAACAGCAAAGCAAAATCCTATGGGAGGTGTGGGGAAACCGAGGGCAGGAGTGTCACATGGAGCCAGGGGCAGGGGCTGAAAGGCTCCTTACTCACCCACGGGGCTCGGGCAGGCTCCATTCGTGTTGTTCAGGTCTCCCCCAAGCATCGCCCCTGGAAAGCAAGAGGAGAGATGGGATCACCATCAGTGCAGGAAGAGGGTGAGCATCCCTGCTTTTGGGGGGCAGGAAGGCAGTGGAGAAAGGCAGAGAAAAAATAGCAGGACTGCCTTCCTAGGGAGAAAGTCCTGGGCAAAAGGAGCAGCATTCCTGGTGATCAGGTTGGGAAACGTTATCCAGGCAGATCGGTTTCCTTTGGGAAGGAGCCAGGTGCACAGGAGCCTGTTCCAAAGGAGGCAGCTTGGAAAACACTGCAGCTATTTAATTCCAAGCCCCCCTTTGGGGGACATGGGGCTGGTGCTGCTGGGGGAGAGAGAGCCCCAGCAGCATGACAGGAAACAAAATCCCCCCTGTAATGTTCACACCGAATGGAAACCATCCCACAGTGATCCCGACTCCATGGTCCCAACACTTGCAGCAAAGCTCTGACTCTCCCCACCAGGCCGGGAAAAACTGGACCTTTTTATTCCCAAAAAACCAGAAGGTTTTGCCTCTCCTGGAAGAAGACTTGATCTTTCTTCTGCCTTGTTATGAAGTTATTTCTGAAAGCCACCTATTCCCCAGCCGGGGGGGACTGCAGCCAAGAGCCGGCGCGGAGGCTCCGGAGCTGAGACCGCAGTCAACCCGGAGCCCTGGGCTGGCCACCAAGGGGCTTTCGGTGCCAAACCCCACCTCTAACCACTGCCCAGCCCTTCTCTACCCAGATGGGGAAACCTGAGACACGAATCTTTAGCCTCCAGCCCGTGGCTCTCAGCTTTGGGCTTGCAGCGAGCCCCTGAAAGCTGGAGGAGGGTGGGAGGGCTGAGCTGCTGCCGTGCAGGGAAGCACAGTTGTTCCCCATATGGCAGCAAGGTTGGTCCCAAAAACTGTATGGCTTGAGAAAGGGTGAAGTGACCCACTAGATGTGGCAAGCATGACAGTGCAGCACATCCCCATCAAGGGATGGGGATGCAAAGCCAGAGGTCCCTGCGTCCCCAAAGTCCCAGAGAAGGGACCCAGCAGGGTTTTGTGGCTGTGCCCCGCTGTGGGACCCCACCTGCACCCCAGGCACTGGTGCCAATGGTGCCAAAGAGGGCCCACCTCTTGGGTGAGTGATGCCAACACGCCTCCTTGGCTGCCCTTCTCCCACACCATCCCCAAGCCAGCAGCACCAGGCACTGTCAGGGTACCCACCCAGCACTCGCTGTGCATTTGCTTTGGAAACAACACAACCAGCTCTGGTGCAATGCTAAAAAAAAAAATTTAGGGGGAAAAAAAAAAAAAAAAAGGAGATTTTCTAACATGCAAGGCCCTGGCTCCTATAAACAGGATTTCTTCCGTGTCCCAGGCAGCGAGTGAATGAGACACAGATGGCTGGACTTGGAACACCTCTGCGCTCACAACCGCAAACGATCCCCCTCAAACGAGCAGGGAGTGAGCTGGAAACAGCAAGCCCCCAGAGGGGTCTGCTGCAGCAGGAACCTCTTCTGCTCTCAGCTGAGGGGCCTCAGAGAGGGCAGGAGATCCCTGCAGCCGCAGCAAAGGCTGCCTGTGCCCGAGGAGGGCTCTGTCTGCAGTGAAATGCTGCTCCTTGGGAGCAGTCCTAGAGCAGAATGAACCCTCTCCTGCAGCTCTGGGGCCTCATCCTGATACCTGAGTACTTCGAGGCACCTTGGAGACAGTGGTGAGAGCAGTGAGCAAGCAAGCTGTCTCTGAACCACAGTTCCTGCTGCATCCCAGCCAGGCCATGCCTCCTGCTCACCCTGACCCACCACACAACCTGCTTCTGGAAGCACCTCCCAGCCTCCTCTCCAAATCCATCCCCTTTGCAAAGCTCCCTGGAGCTCTCAAAGCCCCAGGGGCCAAAGCTGAGGACCCAAATGTCCAGGTGGTCACTGGCACCAGCTCTGCCATTTGCAGCCCAGGTGACTTTTACAGACCATGTGTGACATCTAAATTAGCAGAAATATTATTTATGATCTTAAAAGAGAGCCGGGCTGTGGTCACACGTTGTCCCTGCCACTGCAGGGGACGTGGGTGACAGCTCCTCTCCCCCAGCCTGTCCTGTGCCAGCCATTGCTGGTCCCTGCTGGAAATGACTGCTCCTCAGATCTGTCAGCAGAGCCACATGAGCAATCGCCCACAGCCAACTGCAACCGGCACGGCCCGACTCAGAACAGCCCTTTTTAGGCAGCCAGACCCCTGTCACCAGAGTGCCACCAGCAAGTGGGATGCCAGCACCACCCCCAAGCCTGGGAAGGGTGCCAGGTGACTCATCTTGCACTGCCCAACCCAACACAGATCCCTGCAGGATCCAGCTCTCAAAGAGACCTAGGTAAGGTGGGAAGGTTGCTCTCCCTTTGGTGCCAAGGCACAAACAGGGCTGGCAGGAGGGCAGGAGCACACACTGAGGGGCAGCAATTCTTCCAGGATGCTCCTGCCACCCACACGTGCTGGAATGTGAACTCCTGGGCAGGGGATGGAAGCAGCAGGGGGGTCCCTGCCCAGGCAGGCAGGACGAGGAGGTGATGGTGCCAAGGGGCACAGCGGGGCTCACCTGCACTGGCTGGCCGCTGGGGCAGCCCTGGGGACACCGTGTTCCTCTGCAAGGCCGGCTGCTGCGGGGACAGGAGCCGGGGGTCTGTCAGCGAGGAGGTGACGAGGGACTGGGTCACCAGCGAGCTGCCCGGGTTGCTGAACTGCAGCGTGTTCTGGTTGGTCACCGGCACCGTCACGGGCATGGCGAAGTTCGGAGCGGGCACTGTGGACTGAACACAGGGCAGGGGGTAAAGGGGAGCCGAGGTCCTGCAGCACAGCACAGCTGCTGAGCAAGGGGGGACAGGCAGGCTCCTCAAACCTGCACTGCTGACCTGCAGTGCTGTGCTCAAACCCACACTGGCACCTGGACTTGCCCCTCCCAGAGCCCAGCTCCTCACCAGGGAACAGCAGGAAGAGTTCCTGCAGCACAGCACAGCTGCTGACCAAGGGGGGACAGGCAGGCTCCTCAAACCTGCACTGCTGACCTGCAGTGCTGTGCTCAAACCCACACTGGCACCTGGCAGGGGATGCACCAGAGCCCAGTTCCCCAGCAGGGAACACCAGGAAGAGCAATGGGCCATCCTCTCAGACACACCTGAGCTCTGCAAACAGCTGTTTTGGCCTCTTTTTCAGGCTGTGTTTATTTACCTCTTGTGTTTTCAGGCTGGGAGCAGCCCAGAGCATGAAGGTGGGCACCAGCCTGGTGGTCTGGCCCCACCAGCACCAAGAGCAGGAACCTTGGCACTACCCTTCACCCCAAGAAGGATTCTATGAGGCCACTCCTCAGCCAGCAGGAAGCCAGCAGTGGATCCCCATTCTGGGCTGGCACTACTGCTGGTGGCTGAGCACCTGGGAAAGACTCGTTTTGCTCCACAGAGCCCCTGGGTGACTCTGGAATCCCTCCTGTCTCCTCTGGGAGTTGTTGGGAAGCACGAGCTGACCCCAGGGATGCAGGAGCATCACTAAAGCCCTATCCTTGGCTGCAGGTTGAGGAGCAGCTTCACCTACCAGCGTCCTGTGGGAGCCAGGCCCGCTGTGATTATCCCAGCCGTTTGTCTTATGTCACTGATTTGCTCTTCGTTAACAGGAGCTGGCACCTGCTTAGAGGCTTTAGCACGGGCTTTGCTTAAGTCCCACTTTAATTTGCTCTGGGATGGAGAGGGGAGAGTAGCCCAGCACTGAATGGGACCATCGTGGGGCCAGAGGTGGAACCCCAGAGTGAGGGAAGAGGGAGCTGAGGTCTCCCCACTGCAGCTGGTGCATGTCCCAGCTGGTGCTGCCTTGCAGCCCCTTCTCCTCCAAAAATCTGCTCCTGTATAGGTCCTGCTCCTTAGGTGAGACAGGAAGGAGTAGGGCAGTGCTCACCCACGCCTCGCTGCCAGGAACTGTCCCCACCTGCCTCCCAAGGGCATCCTGTCCTTCAGAGAAACCCCGCGGCCGCAGCCCAGCCGCGAGGACAGCGGCTCTGAGCCTGCGCCCTGCTCCGCTCCTGGGGCTCAGCAACTCCTACACCACCAGGGAGAGCTGGAACACGGAGCCCTCCCTCTGCTCAGCCCGGGAGCTCATCCTGCACGGCAGCAGAATCAAGAGGAGGAGGAGGAGGAGGAAGGTTTCTTGGGCGTTGCACGAACACCGGAGCAGCGTTGTGTAATAAATCACTGCCAACGCGTCCGTGTGCGCGCAGCGCTCCCAGGGAGGGAGAGGAAGAGCTGAAGCTCCTCCACACCACGGCTGAGCAACGCTGGGAGCTGATACAGCAGCCCAAAAGCTGGGGTTTGCCTTAATGCAGCTGCACCCCACTGCACCTGCAGGCAGGTGTCAGGCTGACACTGCCCCGGCACAGCCAGCCCCGGAGAGGGCACAACGGCGGTTTGCACATCGGTCCAAAGTCTGGGGGGGAGAAGATGCACACATCAGCCAAAATCCACGATTTCTGCTCTTGTTAGAAGTGAGGGCAAACCCCAGAGGCAGCAGCCCCACTGAGGTCCTTCGTTAGCAGACACAGCTGTCGTTAAGCTGCCCCGGCCACCCCGCTGGGTTAGTTCTGGTCACACACAAAACCAACCCAGCGTTAAAATGGAAAAGCGTCTTCTTCAACCACACACTCCACCTGCACTGCTCGGCCCCTTGCTGCCAGGGAGGTTTAGTGGGGGAGCCAGATGCTATGCCCTGATGAGGAGCCACCCGGCGCTTGAATGCCACCTGCTGAAAGGACTTCTGGGCACAGATTGTCCCTTTGGATTGGCATGTCTGGAGGATGGGACCCTCCCTTCACAGCAGACACGTTCTGAGGATGAGCAGCCTCTGCTCACGAGGGTGTTCTGCACTAAGCACAAAGCTCAGGTGGCTTTTCAGCCTGTTTTCCACCAGTGACAGGGCTTGTGCCAGGTGCCGTGGGGGTGCATGTCCTGCTGGGGCTCTACTCCCACCCCACACACCCTGGTAGGGTGGGAACCCGCAGCCCCACTAGAGAAACCAGGGAGGCTGGGGTAGATCCATGTCCTGACAGAGCTAATCCTGCCCTGAGCCCCGCTCCTGGGGCTGAGCTCTTTGTCACAGCAGAGCTGCAAGAGATCAGCACCTGCACTCCATCATCACATCCTCCACCTCCTCAGCCCTGCCAGGTGTCAGGGCAGTGCCCCACCCCTTCCACCCTGAGATCCAGGGGATCAAAATGCAGATTTTGGGATCCTTGTGAGGCTCGTGGAGCAACACAGCGCTGAGTCAGCAAAACAAAAACCTGGGGATTTCACAAGGCCCAGTTCTCAACAAAAGCCAGAATTTTAACTTGTGGGGGCTTGCAAAGCACAGAAGGGCAGATTATTTTGGGTGGGGCTGTGTGTGTCATTTTTGCTGCGCTGCATCCACCCCTGGACAGGAGCCTCCCCCCTGCTCCTGCAGCATTAATTACTGCTGCAGCAACTCGGGGCTAATCCCCCAAAGAGCCCTTGCCTGCATCAATAGTCTCTGCTCCCTTGAACTAACAACTAATTTGAAACGTGTCCCCCTCCTCCTCCCGTCTCCTGACACAAATCCCTTTCAGCACTGTCCTGATGCCACCCCAGTGCCAGTGACAGCTCCGGGATCACAGGCTAAACCTCGCTGGATTTCTGCCACAGCCACCAGCTGCCTTGAGGGCTCGGTGGATTTGGGGGGAATTAATGTGGAATAGCCCAAACCAGGCTGAGCTTTGCAAGGATGTGAGAGGTCGGCACCCGCCACCAGCTCACACGAACACTGGGATCTTCACCCAGACAAAAATCTGGGTTTTTTGAGGTAAAGAGGGCAAAAAAGGAGACCCTAACTGCAGTAGAGGAGAGGAGACAAGCAATACCATCCTGCACTGCCTGGCCAGAGCCAAGGAGGGTCAGGAATGCCAGAGCTGCTAGGAATGATTTTCCCAAGGATGGGCACTCAAGAGCCAGGTGCATTCAGGGCTGCAGGGGCTGTTGGCATCGGCTCCCAAGGCACGGCACGGCTCCAAAAGCAAAGCCATGCAAAATCCACCCCCCCATCACCTGGAGGCACCGGGGAGGGGACCAGGGGGCTGCAGGCCACCAGCTACTCACTGCGAGCCGGTAACTCTGCATCATTTTATCAAACTCCTCATCAATCTTTTTATATTTCTCTTCCGTCTGCGGGGTCAGGGCAAACACTTCATCCCCTTCCGGGCTCTCGCACTCCCTGTGCTTCTTGTTCAGCGCCTGTTACGTGCGGGGGGACACGGGGGCGTCGGGGAGGGAGCGGGGACGAGGTCGAGGGGAAGTCGAACAGAAGAGAAACAAAACAGAAAAGAACATATAATGAAGGATTTCCAGCCACGGGCAGGTACTTACACCATATCTCTTGAACAGGATATCCAGATCCTCGCTGCCTTTGCGGTATTTATCCTCCATCAAGGGGCTCTGGTCTATGGAGTCGTCGCCGTCGGGCTCTGGGCTGTCACAGCCGTTAAAACCTTTCTTTCTTAACGTCTGAAAACACAACCGGAACAGTCTGAGAGCGGGGAGTGCAGATGGGGAACACGGGAAGGAACCCCCAGAACATCCCCTGGCCTGCACGGACCAGGACTTGCCCCTCTACAAATCAACAGCATCACCCCAAGACATCGCTGACCTCACTGGGGTTAAAAAAGCCCCTGGGTCTTGATGCCAGGGTGTCTCTAATTTAGGAATTACAGCATGGAGAGCAACAGAGAGAAAATGCCTTGTTGTCAAAGGTTCTGTTCATATCAGGCTGAATTTGGCCCTACATGAACTCAGGTCTCCCCAAGAACGTCCCCTGGCCTGCATGGACCAGGACTTGCCCCTGTGCAAATCAACAGCATCACCCCAAGACATCGCTGACCTCACTGGGGTTAAAAAAGCCCCTGGGTCTTGATGCCAGGGTGTCTCTAATTTAGGAATTACAGCATGGAGAGCAACAAAGAGAAACTTCCTTGCTTTCAAAGGTTCTGTTCATATCAGGCTGAATTTGGCCTTGCATGAAGTCAGATGTCCCCAAGAACATCCCCTGGCCTGCACGGACCAGGACTTGCCCCTGTGCAAATCAACAGCATCATCCCAAAACATCGCTGACCTCAGTGGGGTTAAAAAATCAGGATACAGCCCCTGGGGTTTGATGCCAGGGTGTCTCCAATTTAGGAATTAGAGCATGGGGAGCAACAGAGAGAAACTGCCTTGTTGTCAAAGGTTCTGTTTATACCAGGACTGAATTTGGCCCTGCATCAATTCAGGCATCTTCATCACTTTCAGGTGCCACAACATCACGAAGGGGGAAAAAAACCTTCATGCTCTTTGCTGTCCTGCAAAAAACAGGGAAAACCTGCTTACAAACAGCCAAATAGGAAAATAAACCCCAAAACTATAGGCAAACTGTGAAATTTGTCAGAATTTCCTGACAAAACCAGACAAGTGGCATTTGCCAAATGCAAAGGTGCCACAGGAAGAGCATCACCTGACAGGGCACGTGGCACAGTGACAGCTGTGAGCCCTGTGGGGGTGACACAGGGGGTGATGGTGACAACACAGGGCAGCAAACCCCACTGGGTTTGGGCTCACAAGCAGGAAAGGTCCTGGGCACTGCTGCATTGAGGTGATGAGGTGAGACAACCCCTCCTCAACAGGAGGAACTCGGTGACCACAGGGCACACTGGCACCCCAAATATTCATATTTCATATTCAGCAGCCCATTGAGATCCACTCTGAATCCCTCTACTGAGGGAAATATTCCCTATTGAGGGAAAAATCCCTATTTTCAACATACCAAAAGCAATTAAGGCATGATGATGGAACCAGCACTTGCCAATTCTTTTTTTTTTTTTTCAGGAGTCAAAGATACAGAATTTCCTGGAAGTCTTGATCCCTTTTCATGCCAAATTCAGCAGGGAAAAAAAAATTAAGTCTTGACAATTCTCTGTCTTCCTAAACAGCAACAAACATCTCCATTCTGAGACCAAAGCGTGTTTGGGAGTGGCTCTTCAACTACCTGTGAGCTCCAGGAAACACAGGGCCTCTGGGGGAAATAAAACCCTGGAGTGAATAAAACCCAGGGTGGCTCCAGCTGGGTTGGGAACACTGCTGGCAGGGTTTGCTCTGCACCACAGGCTGGGCTCTGGGATCCTTTTGCCAGGTAGCCACGGCCAAGCAAGGGGCACCACACCCACCCCAGCCTGTTCTCCATCCAGCTGAAGCTTTTCACAATATTTTCCATTACCCAGGCGCCACTTTCACCCTTGTTACTGGATTCAGTCACAGAGGGGAAATGTCCTTGTTCACACACACTCACTCCTCACTATGGTGGCATCTGATGCCCTGTCTGGTGTCACCAATAATCCCTGATACCAAATAATTATTAACTAATTATCTGATAATAACAATTATGAATAATTCTTATACCTAACATCAATATTATACCTAATAATAGTAATTCCTGTGTTGACTGTCTATAGAGCAAGGCACTGGGAATCAGCCACTGCCATGAACAGGAGATTCCCAGGCCTTTTTCTGCAGTTTCCTGAAGACTTTTCCCTATTATTTTTCTATTTTTGTACGTGTCCTTGTTTGTTCTCAGAATGGCCCAAAAGAGGAAGAGGTGCTGCTGGTGGGGAAGGAACAGCTTTGCCTTTTTTTTTTTTTTTTTTTGAAACTGCTTTTTGTGGATTTTTTTTTCCCAAACCTTTTGTTTCGCCGACGCAGCCGAAAGACGGAAAGTTGAGCTTTTCTCTAAAAAAAATAAGTTTTTTCCTTTTTCTCTTTCAGAGGCAAAATGGAAAAAAAAGTCGTTCCATGAGCAGTGGAGCAATGAAGCTGGGTTTTCTTCAGGCTCTGCAGAGACTCTCTGGTGTCTAACAGGGGCTGTGCCCACCTCGACACAATTCCCTTTGCAGGGAAAGGAGCTGGACCTCTCATCTCTGCCCTCCCATCCCTGGGAGGATGGGGAAAAAAACCCAAAATTAAATCAAAATCAAAAAAAATCCCTGAAAACTCCTCTCCTCCAGCAACAGCTGTTGGCAGGTTCAGAGGCTGTGGGGATGGACGAGCCACTGCCATCCCCCAGGACCCTCAAAGGAGGGAACCTCACAGTGGGATTTTTCAAGAGAGTTCAGCCAAGCAACAACATCCTTTCTAAAACCTGCAGCAATGCAGCCACCAGGGAGGTTTTTAGGCAGCTCCCAGAGCCCTCAGCTTTGCCCATATTTGACACCTGAACCAAGACAGGGACAAGGCAGGGGCTGCCACCACCAGCCCCAGCATTTTGCCATTTCTAAGTCCACACAAAATCATCCCTGGGGGTTGTTCCCTCAACAAGAGAAGCAGTGAAATGGGGTGGATGTGGCTCTCCTCATCCATACCCTGAAACAGCTCACCCCTTCATCTTTCCCCAGGTTTCCTTTGTGGGTCTAACACTTCTTGTGTCCCAGCTCTGCCTTGGTCTCTTTGCTCTCCCCAGCCACCAACGCTGTAAAATCATAACTTCATTGTCTGTGAGACCCACATTTCCTTGCAGGGTGGGTCCCCAGCAGTGAGCTGTGAGGGGCAGCTGTGGTGTCACCACCCCTGCTCCTGCAGGAAACCCACCAGCAGCCCCAGGAAGTGGCAAGCCAGCTCTGCACGGAGAAAAAAAATCCTTCCTGATGGGATTGTAAAGCTGGGACAGCGACCCTGAGCTGGGACTGTGACCCTGGGGCTGGCACTGTGACCTGCAACTCTGCCAGCACTGCAGGGAATGGTTCCTGGGTTGACTGCATGATGCTTTTATCCCCAGTTGTCTGTTCTGTTTATGCTGAATAATAAGTTTTGCACCTTTAAGACTTGTTCCAAGAGTGAAGGGGGGAGGAAGAAGCTGCAGTTTGTTTTCAGACGCTGCACTCACTCCTCCACATTCCTGCTCCTGCACTGTGCTGTCTGCGGATGGACAGACAGCAGGACAGAGCTCTACTTTGCTTTTAGTTAGTTTTTAGCTAGCTGAGGGAGAGACGCTCCCCGGACTGTGGTTTTTCTTTTTCTTGGACCTGTTCAAACCTGCTTTGGACTGAACACCCAGAAGAGCACTGGCAGCTCCAGCCAGTGGAGCCAGGCTTGGGCCATGGCATTTCCAACACCAGAGGGACTGATCAGAGACTGATGAGCCAAACTACAGCCCACAGAGGGACTTTCTGAGTTTGTCATCTCTTTTGGAGCAGCAAGAGCTTTTATTGTTTAATATTGTTTAGTTTTATTGTTTAATGAACAGGTTTTTTTCCACTTTTCTCCAAGGAGGTATTTTCTCCCGAACCGGCTGGGGGGAGGCACCAACTGAATCTGCTTTTCTAGAGGAGCCCCTCTGGGTGTTCTCTCCCAAATTTACCCTGAACCAGGACAGAAGGGGAAGGGGACAAGCTCCAGGGCTGAGCACGGGGCTGATCTGCAGCACAGTGGGACAGGAAGCACCGGCGGCAGGGAGTGACCGGGCCGGGGTGGCAGCAGGACACGAGCCAAGGCAGCGTGGCTTGCAGCAATCTGCTGCTCAACGAGGGCTTGGGGACAACAAAATGCCATTTCCAGCCATGCAGGCGTTGGCTGCTGGTTCTTTTCGGGTTTTTTAAAAAAAAAAAATGTGCATCCCACATTTTTAGCTTTTTGTCGAGATGATGTAAAAGGAAAACAATTCTGCTGGAGCGGGAATCAAACCCAAAGATTCCTGTTTTCGGGATCTCTGCAAGGTCTTTTAGAAAAGAACTTTCCTTCTCGTTCCTCCTCTTTCTTTTTGCCAGGGAAAAAAAACAGAAGATGCAGAGAGGTTTTCAGGAAACCTTTCTGTCACTGGGCTGCAGCCAGCAGAACACAACGGTTTTTCATATGGTAGAGATTTAAAAGCAATTCCTTTAGAGCAGAAAATTTCAGAGAGAACCAGGGTGAGAATTTCCCATTGCAAAGCCCACTTCGGTCACCACCTGCCATGCTCAGGTCCCCCCATTCTATCAGGACCCAGTGTACATCCTGCTTTTCCAGGCAATATTCCCACTTCCATGACTGCAGCTCACATGGGAGCAGATTTCCAGCCCGAAGAGGGTAAGAGAGCAGCAGGAAATGCAGAACATGTGAGAGGAAACGATGCTCGACCAGGATGCGCTTGACTTCCCTTAGAGGAGGGAGGCTCAGCCACTCTGGGCTTTGGGGAAGTCTGGATGAGGATAAGGATGAGGACGAGGATGAAGACATTGACACTGGCAGCTGCCCCTGCGTTTCACCACCTCCCCAGCATCCTGCAAAATGTCTGATTTAACACATCCTGGCGAACGACAACCCCAGGAAAGCGAATCAGGGGGAAAATCAGCCCCTCCAAAACACACAGCCAAGGCAAGGGCAGAAACAGCTGTGTGCCTTTAAGTGGCTGTGGAGCATCCTGGTGCCCTGGTGCTCTGCTCTGTCCAAGTCCCCCATCAGGAGCTGGCACGTCAGCCGGGCTGGGAGGAAACGAGAAGCGACAGCGGGGCCCAAAGCCGGCGTGATCCCCGGCCAGGCGGGCACGTGGCACCCAGCGTGCCTGTCTGGGGGCTCAGCTGGCCCCCTCCTGATTAAGGAAACCCCCCTCTCTGCATTAGAGAGATTTGCTCAGACTTAATAGCCTGCAATAAACCAGGACTTTGCCGGGCACGGAGAAGCCGCGGGGGTTGTGTGGCTGAATCCCGCTCCTGACAGCCACTGCTGAGCTGAAACACGGGGGGGTCCCCACTGGGAATGGTCCCCAAAAGGCAGCTGGGGCGTGGAACCCCTCCTGAGCTAGGGCTGGGTGTGCTCAGCGTGGAGCTGCTCTGCTTCTCACTAGATATCCAGAGGGTAAACCCCTCAAGGACATTCCTGTGTAGCATGGGATGGGGTGCTCCAGTTCCACCCTCAGATGCACCTCCCCAGGACAAAAAAAACCAGGAGATCTCATGTTTACTGTCATTTTAAAATGTAATTTGGACAGAGTAACTCATCCTGCCTTGAGCTGTGGTACCCAGGAGCCCCCAGGCTGGCAGTGCTTGGCTTAGCCCTCCAGAGCCACTGCTCGCTCTCCTTCCACCAGAAAAACAAAATCAAGAGGCTTCTGCCTCAATTCCTCCAGGTCCTGGCTGCTCCTCATTCTTCCTGAGATGCTGCCAGAGCCACTCAGGGCTGAATCCCTCAGCAGGAAAGGCAGGCAGACATCACAGGGAAGGTGGGTTGATGCAGCAGCCCCTTGAAATCCACTTTAAATCACATGTGGTGGCAAATTCCCAGCCTGGCTTTTCACAGTCTCTAAATGCTCAATGTGGGGAAGCTTCCAGAATGAGAAGATACTTTTTGTGAGTCAAGTTCAACTGGGAACCACCAAGAAACAGGAGATAAAATTGGATTTGTGTGCACTGGGGACACAGCTGGGCTGTTGGAACCTGACCTGGGTGAGGGGAAACAGAAATCAGCACCAAGAGCAGGAAAGGTCTCCTGGGGGCATGGATTCAGAAAACACTAAAAACCTTCAAGCAGCCCCAACCCTGCTCCCAGACAAGACAAGGATGAGGAGAGATGCTTGAACAGCCTCCAAACCTGCCTGCACCCCAGCAGGTTTTGCTCCCTGCCAGCTCTGCCAGCAAGCCACGGCGAGCCCGGCGTGTTTGGGCTCTTTTCCTTGCCATCCACCAATATCCTTCCGCTCCCGATGTTCCTCTCCTCAGCTTTGGATGCAGATCCAGCTTTTCATGTGGTGCAAACACAGTGTTTCTTTGGGTGCCAAGGACTGTGTGTAACTTGTCGGCTTGGGAGTGTTTGCATCTTGGACCATAAGGGAACAGAGAACGCTGCCCAAAATGTTTATGGTATTTTTAGGCCAAGACAAATCTGTTCGATGCTGCGAGCGCGGGCTGAGCATCCCGGAGAGGCTGAGACAGGGAACTGCCAGCATCTGCACAGCAAAGGGGCATGACCTGCCTCAAAGTGGGCAAAAAGGACATTTTGGAACCATTTTCAAAGCCCCTACAAAACTGTGCTGTGGCAGAAGGGTCTCCAAAGCCCAGCAAAGGAAGGCAGATGCTGCGAGATGCTTGGCTCAGCCATGGGGTGAAAACCTCAAGTCCAAATGTCTCAAAAATACACATTTTACAGAGCATAAAAAAAAAGAAAGCAAGATTTTGGGGGGTAGAGGCAGGCTGGGCTTTTTCCCTTCTTCTTCATGAAATCAAAGCCTGAGCACACTGGCCAAGGGACACCAAAGGAATTCAAAGGCAGAAGCAGAAGCCCAATTCCTCCAGCAGTGCTGCTCCACTCTGCCACCAGTGGCTCTGAGGGCATTAAGTGATGCCCATAATGCCACTAATTACAAAGCCAAGCCCTTCATTTGCCTGTCTGCCCAGGTTTAATGGCAGCTGCCCCCTTGCTGAGGACCCTGCAGCTCCATCTGCACAGCCACTGCTGAGGCAGAGGATGTGACCCATGACCAAGGCACTGCTGGCACTGTCCTGAGAGCCAAATGTGCCCCGTGCTCCAGCCCAGCAATGCTCTGCCAGCACCAGGGACAAGGACAAAGCTGTGGGGGCACCACCAGCACAAGGCAGCAGAGCATCTCCTGCAATGCCAGCAGGCTGCAGAGTGAGCACAGGTTGGGCATGGTGCCAGGGGCAGTGCTGGGGATGGGTCACACTGGAGACCCACAAAACACAGCCAGACAAGCCTTGAGCAAACCCACCAGCCCATGAGCTTGGCCAGGCCCTGGACCATCCCACCTGGTCCATCCCACCTGAATTCCCCTGCAATCTGGCCACTGGTGCCCTCCCACAACCCCGCTGTGCCTGTCTGAGTGGGGACAACGTCACCAGCTGCACCAGGCACTCCAGCCACAGGAGCTACACCAGGCACAGCAGCCCCAGGAGCTGCCTCCAAATCCATCTCGTGGTTTCCCTGGATTCTACAGCGTGGTCCACAGAACAAACCTGCACCTCAAGTATCAGGGCAGCAGGTCACCACACAACTGGAGACAGCTTCAATGCTACCACCCAAAGAGTATTTTCATGAGCTGAACCAAAACTGAACCAAAACCATGCAAAATCCACCTGAGTGTGGGCGATGTGCCTGCTCCATCCCCTCCCTGGGCAGTGTGGAACCAGAGTTCAGCCCTGGCTCCACGCTGGTGGCACAGCTGGGGCCTCACCTCGATGATGTCGGCGTTGGTCCGGCTCTCGTGGGGCTCGTTGTACTCGGTGTACTTGAGCAGCACCTTGTCCATGTCGGTGCTGGCATACTGGAACAGCTTGTTGGAGTGGTTGAAGATGATGAGGGCGATCTCGCAGTCGCACAGGACGCTCAGCTCGTAGGCTTTCTTCATCAAGCCGAACTTGCGCTTGGTGAAGGTCACCTGAAAGCAAGGACAGCAGGGTGAGAAGCTGTGTCCACGCTGCCACAGGTCCAACAACTCCCCAAAAAAAATAGAATGACCCCAGGAGGAAGAGCAAAAGGAAGGGGAATGCAGCAGGAATATTCTGTCTCAGTTTCCCCAACTGGACCCAACCCCAAGCTCTCCTCTCTCGCCTCCCTCTTCCAAATGGTTCATATTGCTGCCTATTTTGGGATCCTCCAAAGGCAGACACTTCACAAGCACAAAGATGATTATCAGCGTTGGAAATCACATATTGCCAAATCAAGAGAAAATAAATTTCAGCAAAATCCCCAGCAGAGCTGCCATCTGTCCGGGGGCTGCAGGTTTTTAAGTGGAATATTCAAGCCACGGAGATCTTGTCCTCGCTTGCTGCAGCTGCACTGTGAGCACCCAACCCTGGGGGCAACAGAGCTGGGGCTCAGCACCCCAAAACCACCCAGGGGTGCCCACCCCATCCCTGACACACTCTCCTGCTCACCAGCTCCCCACTAGTGCTTCCCCCAGGGCACCACGAGCCCCCTGTGCCAGGACCCCACCCAGCTGCCACTTTCACCTTGCTGTCCTCCTTTTGTGTGACCTCACCGGGGTGTTTTCCTTCCTTGCCTGCCCAGCTGGGGTCCCCTGCCTCCCCAACCCGCCCTGCCTTGAGCTGTAAGCAGAGCAGGAGTGATGCTGGCGGGCTGGCTGGGGGCTGGGGCCAGGGCTGGGGCTGGGTGCTGGCTCCAGCAGCAGCTCCAGCTGCCGGGCAGACGTTGGGCTGCGACTCCCAGCCCACGCTCAGCTCTCAGCACCACACTCCTAACAGGACCCAGCTGCTGGAGAAGGAGCTGCTTTGGGGCTCCCTGGCCCGGCTGCAGTGCAGACAGCTGCTGAGGGTCCCCACCCCCAGAACACACAGCACACTGTCGGGGAAGGCACGGCGCCTGGCCAGTGCCCTCTGAGCAAATAAAAAGCAGAAGAAGAAAAGAAGAGGCAGGAGGTCAGAGCTTTGTGCTAAGCATTGCTCTGGGGGCAAAGCAGCCTCCAAGGAAGGGCTGGAGACGAGCTGAGATGCCCTTGGGTGCCAAGACCTGCCCCCTCTCCACTTGGGAAGGCTCCACTCCACTCTGGGCCTCCACCACAGCATCAATTTTGCAACTGAACGCTTTAATTTGCAGGGCTGAGGGAGGAGAGTGAATGAGGCTGCTGCCTTTGCTCAGCCTGTCAGTGGCATCACAGCCACAGTCCGTGGAGCTACCAGAATGAACCCTGAGTTTCTGCACCCCTCGAGACAAAACCGTGTCCCCACGTGTGGCAGGAGGGCAGAGCAGGGGCAGCTCTGGGCACACTTGGCAAGGGGAGCTGCTACCCCTCCCCACCATCTCCCAGAGATAATTAGGCAGTAATGAGATTCAGCTCTAATCGCCTCAGCCCCTGGGAAGTGCAGGGCTGGGCCCTGTGCTGCCGTGGCCGCCATGTGCGCCCGCTCTGGCCGCTCACATTGCCAGCACTGCCCCGGCCCAGGGCACTCTGCTGCAAGCCAAATCAGCCGAGGGCCAGCTCCCGTGTCACCAACAGCTCCCCCTGCCCTCGTTCTGGACTCCTCAGCCACCCAAAAACCTCTGCTGCTGGGCAGCTCCCAGCACCAGGAGCTGGCAGTGCCACAGCCCAGCCGCGGCCGTGCTGACTCCAGGTGGGACCCGGCTGTGGTTCTGCTCCTGCAGCTGTGGCAGGACAGCTCTGAAACCAACACCTGCCTCCCTGCCCCCTTCCCCTGCAGGACCTGTGTCTGCTCCCTTCCCCTGCAGGACCTGTGTCTGCTCCCTTCCCCTGCAGGACCTGTGTCTGCTCCCTTCCCCTGCAGGACCTGTGTCTGCTCCCTTCCCCTGCAGGACCTGTGTCTGCTCCCTTCCCCTGCAGGACCTGTCTCTTCTCCCTTCCCCTGCAGGACCTGTGTTTGCTTCCTTCCCCTGCAGGACCTGTCTCTGTCCCTTTCCCCTGCAGGACCTGTCTCTGCTCCTTCCCCTGCAGGACCTGCATCCCTGCTCCCTTCCCCTGCAGGACCTGTCTCTGTCCCCTTCCCCTGCAGGACCTGCATCCCTGCTCCTTTCCCCTGCAGGACCTGTCTTGCTGTCCCTGCTGGGGTGGCCTCCAGGCTCTGACCGACCCTCCAAGGAGCTTGAGGAGCCCTCAGGAGGAAAACACGTGGTCTCCACCAGAACAAAGAGCCCAGGGTTGTTCCTGCAGCCACCAGTGCCAAACCCCACCTCGCTGGGCACCACGATGGGCTCAGCCACCAAGACTGGAGGCAGTGGGGTCCAAACCATGGGGCAGCTCTTGGCCTTGAAGTGACAAGCATGGTTTGAGTTCTGCCCTTGAGCAGTGAAGAGTGTGGGCTCATCTTCTCCAAATCAACCAGGAACCTGGGCAGAGCTCAGCAGAACACAAACCACCAAATGATCCCTCTGGAGATGAGGGGATATTCCCTCTGCAGACAGGGCCCAGGAGCATCCCTCTCTATTGGCACCCCTGCATCTCGCAGAGAAAAGCAAAGATTTGCCATTTAGCCACCACATCACACAACAGCATCACCTAACAGGGCTTTGTGCATCCACTCATGACCCGGGACAGAAACCTCCAACCTTCCCTGACGCTGTGCATGAGCCTCATCTAGAAGAATTAACCTTGTAAGTCTAAGAGGGTAATCAAATCTCATGCTTCAGGGCGTAAGCCGATCACCAAAGGGGTCAGGAAGGAATTACTGCCCCACACTAGCAGGGGATTTTTTGCCTTTCCCCTGATGTAAACCATATTGGCAGTTGCCAGAGTCAGCAGCCTGGCCCTGAAGGACTGATGGCCTGATCTGTTGTGGCAAATCCTCTCCAGTAATTCCTCTAATGACATTAGTGACTCTTACTTGCTCTCCTCCTCTGGTTTTGGCTGCTGCTGTAATTCACAGAATCACACACTGGTTTGGGTTGCAAGGGATCTAAAAGCTCATCTTGTCCCTGCTGTGGGCAGGGACACCTTCCACCATCCCAGGTTACTCCAAGCCCTGTCCAGCCTGGCCTTGGACACTTCCAGGGATGGGGCAGACACAGCTTCTCTGTGCCAGGGCCTCCCCACCCTCACAGGGAAGAATTTCCTCCTGATATCCAATCTAAATCTTCCTCTTTTCAGTTTAAAACCATTTCCCCTCTGTCCTATCACTCCAGGTCCTTGTCCAAAGTTCCTCTCAAGCTTTCCATGGAGCCTTCTCCAGGGTGAACACCCCCAGCCAGGCTCCAGAGCAGAGGTGCCCCAGCCCTCAGAGCATCCCCATGGCCTCCTCTGGACCCACTCCAGCAGCTCCAGGTCCTGCTGGAGCCTCACGTGGGCTGCTGGTCTGTGCCCCCATGGAGCCAAACCCTGGGACATGAGCAGGGTCAGGTGATGCTGCAGGCTCAGTGTGAGATGCAGGGGAAGAGCAGAGGCTCTGGAGGAGCCCCTGCTCAGCCTCAGCTCCCCCTGAAGTTGTGCTGCCTCAGCAGCCCCAAGCCCCTGCTCAGGATGAACCTGGCAGCACCACAGCACACACAGAGGTGGCAAAAGCAGCTCTGCCTCCACCTCCTTGCACCAGCACTGTGAATCCCTCATTCTCCAGGGCATCCCTGCACTATTCCCACTCCTCTCCACCCCAGCATGCCAAGGAGCCACCCGGGCATGCCCAGGATGGTGCCCAGCCCAGCTGGGGTGGCCAGCCCTGCATTCCAGCAGCTCAGGAGAGCTGAGCAAGCCCCCTGCCCCCAGCCAGAGCAGGGGCAGGGCTGAGGATGCTCCCAGGCTGGGTTTAAGCCAGTCTAGCTGGCAGCCTGCAGCCACAGCAGGCAGGCATCAGCTCCTCATCACTGATCCACAGCAGGAGAGGGAGGGGAGGAGAGGGAGAAGCCAGAGGTGGCTCTGGGGAGACCTCAGTGCAGCCTTGCAGCACTTAACAAACACACAGAGAGGGACTTTTTACATGGGCAGGCAGTGGTGGGACAAGGGGCATAGTTTTAAACTGAAAAAGGGGAGATTTAGAAGGGATATTAGAAGGAAATTTCTCCTGTGAGGGGGGAGAGGCCCTGGCACAGGTTGCCCATCCCTGGAAGTGTCCAAGGCCAGGCTGGACAGGGCTTGAAGTAACCTGGGATAGTGGAAGGTGTCACATAGCAGGGGGGTGGGACAAGATGGACTTTTAAGATCCCTTCCAACCCAAACCATTCTATGATTCTATGAGATAAAGCAATATGGGACACTTCTGACTCTGGAGAGAGCACAGCATGGAGCAGGAGAGTGGAGCAAGAGGCTTCTCCCCCTTTTTACAGCTCCTACCACAGAGGGTAGAGCAGACCCCACTGCCTGGAGCAGTCCTTTTTCATGAAATGTCCCATCTTCCTGGCATGTCCTTTTTTCCCAAAGAAAGGCAGCAGTGAAAATTGATTGCAAAGCTGTGCTGGTGGCCAATTAAACAGCTGCTGCTTTGCTGACACCCAATTTGATCAGGCTGCTTTCTGGGAAGCAAAGCAAGATGTGCTGCACTGGGGCAGAGAGCGATGCTCCCGTGCTGGGTTTTGGAAGAACCAGCCCAGCCAGGGAAAACCAGTGTCCCCCAGCTTGGGGAACTGGATTTTTGGGGACACCTGACATCAGAGATGCACTAAAGCCATGACACCCAGCCATGCAAAGCAACTCCTGGTGCCAAATCCCACCCAGCAAGGGTCTTCATCTCCAGCAGCTCATCCCTTAGAAGCAGTCCCATCACCCAGCTGCTGCCTCTGCACAGAAATGCCTCTTTCCTTCCCCCAAGGTCTACCCAGGCATCCCCCTCCAGCATTACCAATTATTTTCCATTTGTCTGAACTTCCAGCAGGGCTCCAGTCACCGCAGATCCCTCAGTGCCCTCTGCACCACTGCCCCATAAAACACACTCCAGCTCCTTCAATAACCCCCCTAAGGCCCTGTTTCCTCCTCGTGATGGATATAAACAACCCCAGGAGCAACTGGGACATCAGCAGAAACTGTCTGATGCCCACCCCAGCCCCCACCACCAAGTGAAGCCATAATGAGGAAAACCTGCCATCTCCTATTGTTCTGCTGTGGAACAACAAAGTGGTTCACCCAGTTCTGCTCTTTGACACTCTTTAAGGATTAGGAATATATCCACATGCTTTTTTTACTGGGTTTTTTCTGTTTTTTTCCTGGAGTGAAAGTGGCAGGGAAGAAATGTGGCAGGGCATGCTGGGGTGCAGCAGTGGCTGGACTAAAGGCAGAGCTTGGATCTGCTGAGCCAAACTTCAGGAGCACAAAAAGCAAAGGGACCTGCCTGGAAGTCTTGTGGTAATGGGAAATACATCGACAGAGTCATCCCAGAGCAAACCTGAGCTGGCAAAATGCTGCTGCTCCACCACTCCAGTTTAAGGAACATGGAAATTTGGGAGAAATCTGCTGGTTTTTGTTTTTCCTCTGAGATACATGAACGCATTCCTACACACATGCACATGCGTGTCTCGGGCTTGGCTTCAAAAGAGCCCAAGGAAAAAAGCCCTGGAGTCATTTAAGTCTACAATTGAGGGGGGGAAAAAAAGGGAATAATTTGAGTTGTTTGCGTTCAGCAAAATGGATACTTGTTGTGGCTGTTTTTTATTGGAAAAACCACATGGAAAATGTCAACTGAAATATATTTTCTGCGAGACAAAAATAAATTTAAAAAAAAAGGGGGAACTAACTAAGTGGAGAAGACACTTTCTTCTGGAAAAGCACTTAGATGGAAACGACTCAAGGAGCTCCAAGGCGAGGAGCAACGCCTGGATGGGGGCAGAGCAACGTTTGCCTGGTCCTGGATCCGCCTGGATCCGGCCTAAGCCTCTGCTTCTTTTATGGATTGGCAAAAACAGGGCCCAAAGTGGGATGGAAATGGGTCATTTGGAAACCCCCAGGGGAAGAAGGGTGAGGTGAGGGAGCGGGGACAGACAGACTGACCTGGCGGTTGCGCTCGTCCGTGATCCGCTGGATCTGGATCTTTTTCCTCCCCATCTTCTCGGGAAATCCTCGCCACAGCCGGCACCGCTTCGGCTCAGGGGAGGGGAGCAGCAACCCCGCTTTAGAATGCTTTCATTAAAGAGCGTGGGGGGCTTTTTTTCTCTCGGCCGGAAAACAAACCCAAAAAAAGCCAAAACAAAAAAAAAAAAAAAAGAGTTTGGTGCGGCTCCGTGCTCAGTTCATGGTACCGTCACGTGTGGCCAGATCCAGCAGGGCTGAGAGGTCAGCAGCTGCTCAGAAACCTGCACAGTGAGACAGAAAGGAGTCAGACTCTGTCCCCAAACCCATCCAGGACCCAGCACCCCCCTGGCATCCTCCTAACCCCAGCACACAGCCCACCCCCCAGGCCAGGGTGGGCTCTGCTTCTTTCTCCCACCCAGGGCCAGAGCAGAGGGATTTCTCCAAATTGGTCTCAAAGAAGGCCAGGGATGGAGGCCAGGAACACCCAGGACACACGATGCTGTCAGGTGAGGAGGAGGAGATGGCAGCAGCGAGCCCGTGAATCACTGCTCCTCCATGACACTCCAGACATTTTTTATTTTTTTTTTTCTCTTAATAAAGTCATAAGCAGTCGAGTGGCTGGTGATTAGCTCGGGCAATTTAAATCCGTCTCCAGTTTCTGCACTAATCTCCAATTTGGAATTTTAAAATGTCTTTATTTGATTACTTGAAAGGAACCTTATAGCCAGGCACAGAAACCTAATTCTTCTGGGGAAGGAGGACTCTGAAGGCAGCTGAGACAGCCTGGCCCTGCACTGGGCTCAGCCACCGGGTGTTTCCATGGATCTAGGAGTTATCTTGTGTCCAAAATTCTCCCCAAAGGGATGAGCTCTGCAGGTCTCAGGGGTTCCTTCTGCAGCCTCCCCACGGTAATCTGCATCCCCCAGCACCAGGGGGATGTACCAGGGCACCTCCTGGCACAGCCCCCAGCCCATCTCACCCCATTGCCCTGCACTGCAGCGAGGGGACAAAGAGGGAACCTCAGCCAGCTCATTTTCCACAGGTATGGCTTTCTCCCTGCTCTCTCTCTGAGCAGCTGGATAACAGCAGTGATAACACTGCATTTAAGGCAAGGTGCCCTGTGCCAAGACCTAGGCAAAGGGAAAAACCAGTCCCAAAATAGCTTCCTATCTGCCTCAACCTGGCAGTCCTCAGCCCTTGATCTTGTCACAAAAAGCATTAAAAAAACCCAAAAGCTTTTTATCCCAAATTCAAAGCAGCCACAGCCAACCTGACCAAGGTCCTCCAGCTCCTCTCCCACCCCAGAGCACCCCCAGACCCTGCTGAAGACCATGTCCCCATCCCTCACCTCCTCATCAGACCATGCTCGAATGGTCTCACTCCCACACTTGTTTCTGGGGTTCACTGAGTCATGTGAGTCACTTAATCTTCCTCCCTGCTTTTTTTTTGGGGTAAAGTTATTCATCGTGCATCATGTTCTGTGGTTCAGTGCAAGCTGAAGGAGCCCTGAGGAGAACAGGGAGTCTTTTCCCCATCCTGACAGCCACAATTTGCCCTCCAGGGAAGATGAGGTATGGGGTGGCCAGGAAGATTACCAGGGAGACAAAGGGCAGCAAAACGTGGGTTTTTTACCCATAAATCCCATCAGTAAGACTCTTTGCAAGGACAGATCACACAGGGATGGCACTTAACACCTGAGACATTATTTACCAAAACAGGTGCATGTTTTCATCCCAGCAGCAAACAGGAGCAACTGAGAGGAGCACTGTCACCATGGGGAACACTGAGCCAGTGCCAGAGGCACATCCTTTGGCTGCTGCTCCCCATCCCACCATGGGAAGCCCCAAAAAGACAGGTCCCAGAGCATCAGCAGTCCTGGAGCATCACCACTTTCAGAGCATCACTGCTGCAGCTCACACCATGTGAGTATCCCTCGAAGGATACAGTGATACAGTGAGCCAAAAGGAAAATGAGGATTTTTATTTCATCCACCTGGAGTGTCCTCTTGATATTTCCCTCACTGCGAGCTCACCCAGGAGAGAACCCAGAGCCCAAAGGCTCAGAACCAAGGCGAGGATTTTGCACACACAAAGAAACTTTGGAAGAGGAGGAACTTTTTGTCGGGTTTGCTTTGCTGCTTTTCCCTTCGGAGTTGCCACTTCTCTAAATTGGCTGAAAAATATTCACCTTCAGCATCTTCAAAACCACCAGCAGCAGCACAAAGTAGCAACAGCTCCTCAACCAGACACAGGGCAAGATGCTAATTCTTTCCGTGTGCTGCAGCTCTTGGACAGAGAAACCCTCTGAAAGACAGCGGATTTACTGTCCAAACCAGAGAGGAACTCTCCAGAAGCAACAATAAACACTGGAGAACAACGGGCAGTAAATTTAAACTGAGTGAAAGGAAACATATTTTAACACAATTTTGTTGTGGGACTTGTTCACAGGATGCTATGGCAGCCAAAAGCTGCACAGGGCTCGAAGAGATGGGATGTTTGTAGGGATGAGGAAAAAACCCCAGGGCTGCTCATCCCTGCCCTCAGCTCCACACCAGCTGGGGTTTCTTGCATGGGAGCAGTGGGATTCAAACCACATTCCTCTCCCCAGGCTACAAACACACCCCAAGTGTTTCAAACCAAATCCCCTTTTTCAACCACCAGACCAGGTTCCTCCTGCTGCTCTGAATCCTGACTCTGCATCCTCAGCACCTTGGCTGGATGGGGACCATGGTCCCAGCCTCAGGGTCTGCTCATGCTGCTGGATCAAGTTTTCCACAGGAAAAAGGTGACTTAACAGGTTTTTGCTTGTCATCATGGGGAGAAAAGGAGCTGCCATGTGATGCTCTTGACCCCTCTACCCCTCCTCACCCATGGATGGGGTGAGGAGGAGGATGGAGAAGAGCACAGCATGTTTGCTGCCCTCCAAATGCACCTGACAGAGAGGATTTCAAACCCCTCCCTTTTCTCTTCATGGAATTGGGGTTTGGGGGTGAGTTTATTTGTTTTTAGGTTGGGTTTTTTCCCCACTGTATTTTTAAACCCAGGTATTTTCACGTTTCCTGCCCAGGTGGCTCTTTCAGAAAGTCCAACCACTGCTTTGAGTTTCTGAACAGCAGCTGGAAGAGCAAGAAAGCTGGAGAGCCACCCTCATCTCTCCTGTCCCTCCTCTGAGGCTCAGCCCCAACCCAGGAGGATCCCCTCTGCCCCTGGAGCTTCTTCACCACCAGATTGCTTTGGCTCCCTGATTGCCCACCCTGATCAAGATCATCCATGACCCTCCTCTGTGATCAGGTGAATTTAAGCACCTGAACCATGCACAGCCAAAAACCCAGAGCACAGGACTGCTGCAAGGAGCTCAGCTCCTAAATAACTTCTCACTTTTGGGGTCTCAAGTGATTTTATATACAATAACCCCACTCATTAAATCATCATCTCCTCCTTGTCAGACAGCAGCTTCTTCCTTTCTCCTGAGCCTCGCCTTCCAAGGAAACCACCAAGCATCCCAGCTACCACACCCTGACAAGGAGGGTCCAAGGGCATGGAAAGGGACCTGCAAACCTGCTGGAAAAAAGCCACCCTGACCCTGTTCCCCTGGCAGGAATCTCAGCCAGGATCAGGGAATTCAGCATGAGCAGCTCTGGGCTGGAGGCAGCCAGCGCCCGCTCCCCCTCCCCACGCTCCGCTCGCACAAGTGTGACTATCACGGCAATTAGCACACATGCCAATTAACTCCGAGCAGGTGCTGGTTAACTCTGTGCTGAGTAATTCATCCCCGGCTCCCAGTAAATTGCTCCAAATTGGAGAGACAGGCGAGAGAGCAGAGTTAGCATTTTGCAAATGGGGGAAGAAAGAAAAAGCGCAGAGGAATCTCAGCTGGGAGATGTTTTTACAAAACAAGGAATCTGGGGGGCTGAATCCCCAGCTCCAAGAGCTGAGGACACAGAGGAGCTGATATCTCTTTCAAGTCTTTATTTCTGGATTATTATTTTTTTTTATCTACTGTGCCAACTTCTTATCTATTTCACCTACTTCTAAGTGGTTTCACCTTTGCTTTGCACAAGCAGCGGGGTGCTCTGCTCTGCTCCACAACTTGTCACTTTTCCAGCCCCACGTTTCTCTCGGCACAAGAAGGGACACTGAGAGTCTCACATCCACTTTCTACAGCCATTTGCTATTTTTAATATACTTTTATTGCATCCCTTTTTAGTCGCTCCTTACTAAAGTTAGCTCGGCACACCGCCCCTCTCCAGAGCAAAGGAATTCTGCTGCCCTTCCTTAACACCCCCCTTGCAATGCTGTGTGCTCTCAGCACAATGTCAGCTGAAAGAAACCAAACCTTGGCCACGCAGCTGCAGAGGGAAGATCAAAAAGATTAATCTGAAAGCTTTAGGAAGATAAATAAAGGCAAATAAATGCATCCTTTCCAAAAATGTATTTTCCTCTGGAGCTCTTTGCTTTTCCCAGCATGTGGCACCGTGCTCCTCAATCCACTCGTGCCTGTGCAGCAGCACTCAGCAGAGCCAGTGACATGAGTGAGGGCAAAACTGGGATGGGTTGGCACCAGTTCAAGGGACATTTTCCTGATCTCCATCCCCAGAACAGGTCCAGTGCAACGAGGACATCCTTGGCTGCAAGGAAACCTGCAAAAGGAGCTTCAAAGGACATTTGGAGGTTGGGAAAAGAAGAAAAATGCTGCCCTGTGAAGATACAGCTCATCTTATGGAGGCACAGAAAGTCCCAGTTTGAAGGGAGAAATGCAGGTGACAGGCATGGCAGATCACAGCCCAACCCAGCAGCTGCTCCCCCCATCTCACTGTGGGACCAACCCAGCTTTTACCCCACTGTGCACATCCCCAAGATGTGTTTTTCCTAAAAAGGCTCCCCCCATCTCACTGCGGGACCAACCCAGCTTTTACCCCACTGTGCACATCCCCAAGATGTGTTTTTCCTAAAAAGGCTCCATCAAGTCAAGAGCCTGGCTGACAGTAAGGGGAGGGTCCTCCCTGCCACAATCCCCCCCTGAGGAACAGGAACTGAATTCATGGACCCAAGCCCCAACACATTTTGGGGGGGTCAGGTTTATCCACATGCAGAAATGACAGCAATAACATGTCCCAGCTTCTCTGTGAGAAAAAGGTCATTGAAAGGGAGCTTCAGCACACAACCAGTGGGCACGGGGGGTACAAGGTGTTACAGAACTGTAGAAAGGTCTGGACTGGACAGATTCTTAAAGCTCATCTCATCCCACCTCTCACAGGGAAAAATTTCTTGCCAGTACCCCA